ATGAGTGAGTAACAGTGGAAGATTCCATTAGTTTTGATGAAATCTTTATTACTCGTAATTTTAACGATATACCTGATGAAAATCTGGTACAAACTACAATAAACCAAACAAATTTTCAAGATACACACAGTAGTACTATCTGCAGTCCATCAGCTGGACAGGAAAAATGTAAAACTATAGTGCCTCATCCCTTGCTTTATCTGAGTTCTGAAACCTAGTGAGCATCCGATGAATCTTACTCAAATTCAGAATTAAATTTTAATGCTAAAACCTCTTGTATGCTCAGTAATTCTGGTAAAAAACTCATCAATTGCTTTCGAAACAAGAAAATGAACAGCACCAACCAAGCCACATTTTTGAGGATATTACAGCTGTTAAATGTAATAGCCAAGTGGATTCTATCAAAGAATTTATTCAATATCCTAGCATAGACTTAACAAAAAAGAGCAGTAATAAGAAAAAAGGAAAAATGTTACCAATATCAACAGGAAAGAAATGGTTAGAGCGAGAAAAAAAAGATTAGAAAACAAACGTCAAAAAGAGGACGATTTGATAAATAGAAAAAAAAATAAATTAGAAAAGCAAGAAGAAATAAAAGTAAAGAAATTGGCAGACGAAAGAATTAAAAGAAAGAAACGGTTGCAAAGAGAACAGCAAAGATTACAAAAAGAAATTGAAAAGTTACGGAAGCAAAAAGAGAAATTCAAGTTCATTGAAAGTAGAAAAAAATCTGTTGAGAAAGATTTAATGGAGGAGAGAAAATAGATGGATTTAGAGAAGCGGATCAAAGAACTACAGGAGAAACAAAAAGAATTGAAGCTGAAACAAAATAAAAATCCTTCATAAAAAAATTGTGATTCTAAATCAATTGTATTAATTATTTTTGTCAAGTGATATTTCAAGATATTACAAAATTTTATTGTTTACATTATTTTTTGTACAGTTTGAAGTTTAAACCCTCTTCACATGTTGCATAAAATAACTTTTTCGTGTTAGTTATTTCCAAGTTTTGTGCTTTGATAGATTTCATTAAAGGCCTTTGATAACGTATCAATGTTAAATATTTTTTATCATTAATAGAGAAACAAAAGCTTAGTGGAATAGCTTTTTACTTTAGTAATAATAAATTAATCTGTAATATAAGAATAAGTAAGATCAAATATACACGTAAAAAAAAAATAGAATTGAGGTTATACTCGTATTTGTCATCAAACTGTATAATTGGTGTACAGTAATGAGAAGACGTTCGGTAGATGGGGTGCGGGAATTTGAACAGCTGTACGGTAACTAGGAGCACGATTTTCAAATCATTGATTAGTTATAAAGTTATTTTTGTACGGTAGGATGGTAAAAAAAATTTCTTACGTGCAAGGAACCTAAAACAACGATTTAAAACATTTTGAATAAATATTTGGCAGTAAACAATGATGTAGTAAAATATACAAAAAAAAGTAGATGGAAAACCGTACGGTAATGGGTACGTTTACCTCTACATGGTATGGAATTGATTGGCGTTCTGATTGTTTCCTACGTGGACTTATGTATGTTTGACTTTTGATCAGGTACATCTGAAAACCAATTTATACTACTGTCACATGGTGAAGAAAAAACTAAAAATGTAGTGTTTTTAAATTTTTCAAAATGTTTATAAAATACTTAAATTTAATATGTTAATTAACAGGAATAAAATAAAATGTTTTAAAATTTTATGGATAAGAATTGGGCAAAGCTGCAATAAAATATGCTATGTTATACATTATATAAACATTTGGGATTTACAGAAGTGTTGTAGGAAAATATATTTCAATAAAAATATGCATTGAGCCAGAAAAAGTTCTAAAATTACTCTCTTTTTTTTCATCATGGGCTTTTTGATCACTTTCTGTTATCCTTATAACTACTTGCACGAAATGAATTACATTATATCGGTAATGCTGTGAGTTTTCCATGCTCCTGACTCTGTTTCGCCATCTCACTGAAAAGCTGTACCAAATCTCTTAAATGAATTTTGTAATGCAGGTTCAAAATCGCTGATGGCTTAAGTATAGGCGTGGGATCTGCATAAGTAGAATTTATAAATTGGCAAACGTTTGTTTATAAAGCTTGTGTTTTATCCACTTTTAAAAGAAAAAAATGAAAAATACCCTAAGAAATCAAAAATTATATTATTTTTAATCATTGTGAATATATTTAGCCAATTCTGTTAAGATAAAGTTTTTTCTTGCACCATTATTCTGCTGTACTATAATTGTCATAAACTGACGTATTCCTTATAAGTACGTCATAGTTGTAAACGTTTCATCGCAGTATAAAGTAAACTCAGTTTCAAAGACTTTTTAATAATTACTATCAATTATATAACTTTTGATGTTGTATTTTTCATCATAATATTTGTAATTGAAACTAATGCAGTTCAATCTATCGTGCAGATGCTGTACGTTATTCATTGAGCCCAATGGCCTCGTATTCATACCTAAAGGCAAGCTCATGCGACCTCCGGTGGAAACAACCGGAAGCCTGTGTCGGTGAAAAATTTAAAAATAACACGTGTACTAAGACTTTATTTTGCTGATTACAAATAAATTGGGTCCTTTTTCCGTAAAAATTCCACTGTAAAATCGAACTTTAGTCCATACCTGTCATTTAACACAAAGTTGCGTTTGGCAAGGTCGTGTCGAGTTTCTCCACTATTTTTTTGTAGTTCGGGCAATCGCTCGCATATGTAGAGGTGTATACGTGTAGCAGATCTATATGCAGATGTATCTATACATACGATACTGTTGTTTTTATAACAAATGGTTTAACGTGTAGGAAGCAAACCGAAACATTTGACTGGTTCGACGGTTGTATAAAAACATGGATATTTTAGTAAGCCTAAGTACAATATTAAAGTACGTAGGTTACGGAGAATGGGCTTATGTTGACGGTGAATATTTACAGTATCGATAGTATCGTATGTACTTATACATACATCTGTGAATAAATTATAGATCTGCTGTACGTACACACCTCTACATATGCGAGCGAATGTCCGACCTACAAAAAAAATAGTAGAGTAACTCTAACACGACCTTTTCAAACCCAACTTTGTGTTTAACTAACAAATTTGGACTAAAGCCTGATTTTATAGCAAAGTTTTAACTGGAAAAGGATCTAATTTATTTGTAATCGGCTAAATAACGTCTTGGTACATGTATTATTTTTAATTTTTCACTGATAAAGGCTTTGGGTTGTTTCCACCAGAGGTCGCATGAGCTTATCTTTAGGTACGAATTGGCTTTCACTCTAAAACCATATCCTTTCATTTTGTTGTAATCCAATCAATTACCAACATTTTACTTCCCAAAATCTAAAAATTTATTGTTCGAGATATTAAACGACTACTAGAGCCGGCCTGATGGTTGGATTCAGAACTATTAATTTACTTAAGTATGCATTCAAATTATCGTGGCAACAAGGAATAAGTTTTTTTATACCTTTAACCGATTCAACTGATTACGTAGATGAAGATTTACGCATATACGTAAATAGTAAAAACTTTGCCAGAGCCAGCCACATTTTTTCCTGTGCAATCGAGACACAGTCTTTAAATGAAGTAATATTAATCTGCTTATGTTGAAAGTCCACTGAGTTATTTAAAAAACCCTATGGATTGAGTCTAAATAATAAACAATGAGTAAAAAAAACTTTATAATGATGTTGCACTTTTTGGCTGGATATGGAGGAAAATGTAAACACATTGTTGGTGCTCTTATTTATTTAATTAGGTAATGCCAACAAAATTTTCCATGGATATAAGGTTTTTACCATTAGAACTGAAAAGGCAGTAAAATTTTTTCAACGACATTTCGTTTATCAAATCTGCTTCCCAAACCTCTCCGTTTACTATAGCCATCTAATCTAATCAAATCTCGTGTAATAGCTTAGCCAAATTAGATAACTTTTGACGTGCAACTCAAAAGTGTCAAAAGTAAGCTTCACAAATGAAATGTTACGTACTTAAAAAAAAAATTTTTTTTATTCAAAACTATCAAAAAACTTTACACCTAAGGCTTTTAAGTAATAGAGAGTAAAAAAAAATTGAAAAGTCAACGCTTGGACATAAGAAACTGTAAAAATGAAATTTTCAAATGCTTCGTATTACAATAATGACTTATTGGTCTGTTTTTTTAACCTTATGGCAATGCAAAAAATTTTTTCAACCTGATCTGCGAAGCACATTTTAGAAAAATTGGCTTACACTGTTTAAAAAAAGTCCTGACTCAAAATAATGTATCCTTCGTTTTTAAACATAGGCATCATGGAATATCGCAATTCTTGTAAATGCCAGGGAGAACCTATTCTAAAAAATATTTGCCGCAAGTAACGGATGGCCTGTTAATGGAGTGTTTTTTTGTTTAACCATTTAGTAGACTCTCATCGAAGCTTAGTATAATCTCGAAATGCAGGGATACATAGGGATTTTTTTATTTACAAACGATATAGTAAAAACTTGATAAGTACGTGTATTCTTAACAGACCAGTTAATTCCTTTTACTGCAACAGGCTTCGGGCTTCCGGTTAACTCCGCCAGAGGGCGTAAGAGCACGACTTCAGGTCCAAATAGCAAGCAACAGTTTGAAAACAAAATAAACGTTGTATTTGTGTACACAATACTCGGGCCTCGCATCACTAAGGTAGATAGGTACCCGTACAACAGAAAAACAAGCACAAGCTACGGAGACAATATGTGGTGCGAAGAGCCAAAGAGGGAGAGAGAGAAACGCTTGGTATATACCTGCCTATACAAGTGAGTATATTTAAAACACAAACCTCGCCCCTCTCCGTTATCCCCTTTAGTGCGTGTATACACAAGCATGAGCCAACACGAAAGCTTTTACACCACTTGTCGGTACACATAATCAAGTATACACCTATTATACTTTGGTACAGAAAGAGAGAGGGCCCCACGGGGGAGTACAAGTATTGGCGCAGCAGTAAACAGTAGACGGTCGTAAGCACGAGACAAGGACGCAAAGAAAATTTTCGTTTTCCCACGTACACGTACGCTACATGTGTAGGGCCATTGATCAGGTTCCGTTTTACTTTTACCCCTACGCCTGTGTTTCGTGAATACCGATTTCGAGGGTAGTAGCTCAGTTTGACTGATGACGCTCGCCAGTTGACGCCAAGAGATAAGAGTGAGAAATTACGCAAGAGTGTTATTACTGATACAGAAGGAATAACTTGCTGACAGATAGAGGACTACGAGAAACTTGGGTAGGTATGTGCATTTGCTGGTACGTGGTTTTTTTCGTAAGTGCGGGAAGGTTCTACCGATCGGCCGTGAACGCGATGCCAAATACAACGGAAACACCGATTTCGTTTGTAACATCGGCAACAAAGTATGTATAAAATTGTGCTTCGGCTCCCAAGCTTGAGTATTACAACGTAACACAAAAAAAATCGGTATGAATCGCAATCGCCAAGGATCTTCGTCGGGAAATAAGTAAAAAATCATTCGATCGACAAGATCTTGTCAATGGGCGAGCCAGCAAGTTGGCTTTCGTTGAAACTTGGCTACCAGAGTTGACGCTTTGCCATATCCGTTTGAACAAACATCATCCAAAATCCGTATGTGTGCGTGTATGTGTGTACACTATTGCGTAGAGTTTAAGACGTCGAACCGTTAGTTAATATAGCGTAGCAACTAATAACGAATCGAAGAGACGTAGACTTGCCTTTGGCAATCGCATTTTGGGCTCGTGTAAACACTCTCGCGTGTAGAAATCGCATTTAGAAAACAATAGCGTACAGCAGTCGCTGCCGAGAACTCTGTTGGCCCGCTGCAGAGACTCTCAGCCGATTTTCGTTCCTTCGATTGTCAAAATTGAAAAAAAAAAAACGCTTTTCAATTTTCAAGATACTGTACAAGTACCCGAACATAATTTTCCAGGTGACGTGGAGGGTGAGAGAGAGGGTGAAAGACAACCAAAAATCGTCAGCAATGGAAACCTTGGTCCGTGAATCTGAGAGCTTCGAGTGACTGCCAGCAGCCAATTTACGAGGGAAAAGCTCTCGGCTGAAGTAGCCAAGAAGGAGAAGAGCCGAAAAACAATGACACCACGCTCGTGCCGCGGCGAGATAGAGCGCAAGAGGTTCAGGTTCAAGCGAAAGTCGCCCTGATCGCTATATATACTATTGGACACGTTATCTACCTACGTGTGCTCGAGTTTTTCTTTGCCTTCAATTTGGTGAGTTGTGTTTTTTTTAAGCTTTATTTTTTCTTACGCATACGTTTACACTGCAAATATAAGAAATAAAAAATACTCGAAGCGTATGGTGGAAACTCATATTTTTTCAAATAATTTCACCATATTCCATCAGCTATAAGGAATCAAATAATATTTTCTCTCAAACAATGGAGCTGAAAAGGATGTATGATCATAAAACGTACCTATAAGATAAAAAGTACAAATTCTGAAATAAGTTTGGCCTCGTTTTTTTCTTCTTCTGTTTTATACAAAAATTTTCCAAATTTTTTAAATAGAAACTATGGTGTTTGGTAGTGCACTGTAATTTAACAAATGTAGTTACAATTTTTCACGTAATTTTTATGTTTGAAAAACACGTTTGTTGCAAGAAAAATCGGCACTGGAAAAAGCGCCAAAAGTTTTTTCCACTATTTTGTAACTTTTGTCCAGATACTATGGAATTTTCTTTGGAATACAAATACGATAGATTAATTAGAAGTTATTCAAACAACATCTTCTTATAAAGTTATTACATTTCACGTTAAATAGTGTATAGTAACAATGTTTTTATTTCACTAATAATGTTTGACACTCTTCGCACAATCTAAAATATTGTTACTACTTTTATAATAATTCCACTAATATTCCCATATTTTATTATTTAACAAGTATACTACACATAACTTAAAGAGAACAAAGATTTGTAAATTTATGCTCACATCAACTATGTTAACATTTTTTTCTTTTTTCAATCAATTAAAAGAAAACGCTCTCATGTAAATACTCGTTTGATTTTTTTTTAACTACCCAAACCAACCAGTGACACTTTTTACTCAATCACACATCGAAATAAAACGGCTTTAGTTACTTAACAATAAATCTTTTACGGTAATACTGTCGATATTCTTCGAAAGTTATTTGGGAAAAGATTTGACTAACTTTTCTTACATGTCCACCCAAGTACACCTATACGTTACCTAACAGCTGAAAAGCATTAATTTCAAACCAACATCAATTACCATCGGTATTTACAGGTACCCAATAATTGTTTTTAGGGCTGCAAAATATTCCTGAGTTTTTTACTTTACGATCCTTCGTTTTGTATAAAAGTCTTGTAAGTCGTTTTTGTACACTATGAATTTTCATGCAAAAAATACATTATATTTCACAAAACTACATGCTGATTGCCCAAAATTTAAAACACCAATAACTTTTTTACGTGCACTGTGAGTCCACAAAATTAAAAAAAAAAAAACATATTTTTTAATCAACAATAATATACGTTTTCCATTTCATCAATGTAATTAATATACGATAGTACTTCCTGAAGGTAAATAAAAAATTTTATGTTTGTCATAAAGGTAATATAGTTGATAATATTCTTATGTTTTACAATTGTTATGGGTGCGATTTTAAAACGTTTCAATAACATATTTAATCTCACTGTATGTATACAACACGAGATATTGATCGACTATCGCTTGATTCCTTAAAAAGCTTGAATTATCTGAATAGTCGATTTCCCAGCGAGATAATACGAGACTTGAAACTCTCGTAGCATCAAAACGCGTGTACGCGGGGATGGAAAATTTCCACGGAATTTGTTTGTTTTGCATCGTCTACTATACGTTATATGATATTGGCAGTTGAGCCGTAAGTCGGTAAATCCTGACTGCGATAGACGCACTTTATGACTTACCCGGATGACTCAGTAACCTTTGCCGTTGCACAAAGATTTCCAACATCTCCCTCACCCTATGTATGGCTCGTCAGAATATATACATGTACCATACCACCTGAAGACTGAGGTGGAAAACAAATTTAGTGGAGTCTAGGAAAACCTATGGTAGCTGTTACTTTATACAGATACCTGAGAGCTTTGGTGATAATTACTTAATAGCCGATGTTTTGAAATAATTTTTTTATTACTACTTTGAGATTATACTCGAGTTGAAATAATTTAATGCAGTATAATAGCTTATGAGCAGAAAAAATCTCTACACTGTTAAACTACAATACACGTGATATGGCACATAGGAAGTAAATTACTGAGAAACAATAATTATATTTTAATAAATAATACGTATGTAATAACATATAGAGTTGATGCCGGCCTTTATAAGTGGCACATGAAATTATGTTTGGATCAACCAAAGGCGCATATATAGTAAATTTAGTATAGACTTTTTTTCAATGCATAACAGTACAGATCTATCTCGTGTCTGGGGTTTCCGTCTGGCTCAGCTGACTCATGATAATCAACAATCACGCTCGTAAAAGGAAAAGTACTGCTGTTTATCTTTTCTCTCTCTGATATAACAAGAGCCGTGGTGATTTCGGAAGTAAATACTTCACACGATGATAATACTGCCGATCGAATGTATATAACTTCACTCAAAAATGGGGATCAAACTGGGATTACACTCCTAATATAACCTACATACTTAAGCATGGCAAAAGATGTTTTTGTTCATATGGTGCAACTTTAAACTTACTGATGAAAATTTCGATTTAAAAAATTATTATTCGAAAACTGTATTACGCGGTATGATGAATTTATATCTCGTAAAAAGGTGTCAAAAATTTGAAGTTCTTACATTAGGTAAAAAAGCTCAATTGATACAACTAACTTTTAAATACCATTTTATAACCTTTTCTTTCCTGTTATTTTTTTTAAATGTGTATGGTAGTTTTAATTTAGTCCATATTCATCATCCCTTTTTTTTAAGTTACCCTAGCTTTACAATATCGATACTAATAACCCTTATTTAAACTTTCTTTTTTATCTTTTTTATTGTTACTTAGTTTTATATTTTTTTCGTGAAAAATGTCGAAAAAATATTTTTTTTTATGAAAGAGGATAACAAGTAAAAACTACAATTACAAACAACCTGTATTTTTTGTGATTTTAACAAATAGTAAGTCATTTAAAACTTTCATTCATTCAGACTGAATTTGGATATTTTTAAAGATCAGTATACGACGGAAGCTAAGCTGATCGAGACCGATAGTACTGTGTCTTAAAACTCCAGCACGTGCTACGACATCAATTACTTAAATTGTGGGTCTGATAGACCAATATTTTTATCTCTGAATGGAATTTTATTTCAAAGTATCGTCTTTCAGGAAATACATATTTCAATAAGCTGATGAGTAACCCGAGTTCGATCAACTTGGGCTCGTAATGTTTTCAAATACGTACTGAGCATGATAATTTTTTTTTTAATACCATAATATTCATTATCATTCGGATCACTGTAGTTAATCAAATTAATTCCAGCCAAAGATGATCCACATTTTAAAAAAGACAAGAAAAATAGTATAGGGATATGCAGAAAACATTTAAATATTTGAGTATCCCCTTATGGTGAACTGTATTGTTTCTTAAAAAATGCAGCATTACTTTTAGTTCGAAGACTTTTTTTTGAGAATCGCATTATAACTTGTTTAAAAGAGAGAAAAAAAAAGTTTGCTTTTTAAAAAGGTGAATTGCATTGAAGAAAGAAATTTTCATGTCGAACTAAAAAGTATTAAGTTCTGTTTATGTTATTCATTTTAAACATTTGAACGATATCATTTCAACCGCATGAGCTGTGCAAAACACTTTACTCTACTTAAAAAGCAAAATCTCCCTAATACAGCTTAATCCACTTTAACTGTCAAGCATCGTTTTCGTTCTTAGCGAATCGCTGGGGATTTAAAAGCTCAAGTTTATCAAGGGATCGGGAAAAAAAATTTCGCAAAGGCCGATCGATTTAACGGTAGACTTGACGAGATGTTGTTCGAGGAAATTTTTACTCTCACAATTGTCATTACTAATAGAAATCATCGCTATTTTTGTAACTCTCAACTCATCGCTCGTTCTATGAAATACGATAAGAGTGTATTTATAGGACTATTTAGTGTTGTAAAACAATTATATCAACGCTCGCGACGATAATATTGACTCGAGTGATGCGTTATTTATTGGTGCTTGATTATCAGACAAGTTGTGGTACATCAATGATTGAAAGTGTGAGAATGAAAATTGTTTGAATAAAATATACTCTCAGAATCATTTGTTTAAAAAACACGCTCTATAACTCTTCAAGAACCTTGAACTTTTCTTAAACGATCATTTCAGTACCTTGCAAAGATTTTCACTAAAAGTAGCAGTTTTAAATAGGAACTTTGATACAATAATAGTTAGCTACCTTTAAGTCATTAATTTTCGCGTAGTCAATTACCAATGCATAAGTTTAAAATTTTCTAGTTGAAAAATATGTGGAAGAAGGTTCTACTGGGAAAATTGAGTGAGATGCACTTTTTTAATTATTGATAAATAATGATTGTTTGTATATTTTATAAAAATAAACATTTTTTTACGTTTTGAGGTTTGTTATAGTACAAAATAAAAATCAGTGTGTACTTACAGAAATTATTTTTTACCCGTAGCATAGTAATACAAACTAAAATTATCTCTAGAATTCAAATAACTTCCCGATACCTGTTGTTAGACGATTAATTTTTCAGTAAAGGTAAAAATAACAAATAAATAAAATCATGAATCTTTTAGTCTACATTGAAATTTTTTGTAACTCTCGTTCGAGTACAATTAAAACATCAAAACGTGTATTAAGAATTAAAAAAAAAAAAAAAAAAAATCCAATGAAAAGAATTGAGAGTCCCAAAGAAAAAATTTATTGATATGAAATCGGAAACAAAGAGGCGCGGGAAAAACAAAACAACGCGTCAGTTGGGACCGACACGCGCGCTCATCAATATTATCTGGCAAACAGAAGCAAAACAAACTCGATGTTTTATCGGTCGTTCCGTGATGTCGGCTCGTGGAGCTTACGTTTAAAAATAAAAAAAAACATTCCTCCTCACAAAATCGATCGTCATCACTGTCGCACGAATAAACGCGTGTATACGTGACACAGGTGTCAAGTGCGAGCCCGATTTGACCGAATATAACAACAATGACTAATCGATCGGTTTTATATATTTAAATGGAACTC